CTGGGCGCTGCTCGCCGCGCTCCTGCAGGCGGGCGCCGCGGGCGGGCGGGTGAGTGCGCGGGCCCGAGGCCGGGGCGCGAGTCCCTCTCCCGCCTTCCCCTCTCCCGCCTTCCCCACACAGCACCAACACGCACCCCTCGCTCCCTCTCCCACCCGCCCTCTCCCTCAGCTTTTCCTCACCAACGAGCATCTCGGGCTGCTTGGGAGTATTTGCAGGAGTTTGTGACATGGTTGCCCACACACAAAATCYGTGTGTGCTCAAGCGCTCTTCTTTAAACAGGAAGAGTGTGCTGCGCTTTATCGGAGCGTTTCAAGTCTATTTACATAAAAACCCTTTAATTTGCATCTAGGATTTGATGTGATCCAGCTGCGTCTGCTCTGTTTTATAGCCAGCTATGTTGCTGTTTGAAAGGGAATGTTTTTGTTTTGTTTGTTAAAAAAAAAAAAATGCCTGGACCAAGGAGCTTGGTGGGCTCGCCTTTGTTTCGTGTGGGTTTATGCAGTGGTGGTATATTGATAGCATTTTTCCAGCTTTGTTTTTAAAGTGTACTGGTTTCCGAAGATAAATATGCAAAGAGTTCTGAGATGTCCATTTTTTTTTCTCCCCCTCTCCCTTCCTCCCTCTTCCTCTTTCTCCCTCCCTCTTCCTCTCTCTCCCTTCCTCTCTCTTCCATGTGCCAGATATTTGCATAATTATTTACATTCATTTAGCCTTGATGAGTTTGTATGGAGAAAGATGCGCACAGTATCAGAATATGTATTGAATTTGAGATTCAGGGGTCTTTTAAGGTTAKGTTAATATTTTCAGCTGCACCTCAGACATTTTGAATTCAGCCCTGGTTTGTTTTGGGCCTAATTCCCTGAATACTTTGGGCTGGACGGGATGGAGCAGGTAAGGAAGAGAGCGTCTCGCAACTGCAGCAGACCTTGGCATCAATGTGTAGCAGTAAAGTTGCCTCCTGCTTCTTGCTGCCAACCGCAATAAAGGGTAGGGGTTATTCAAAGTAAATAAAGTTCTTTCAGCCTCCATCCAAACCATGCTTCTATACTCATAGAAAGCAGGTGGAATTTGAAGCATCACGTTTCTTGTTGTTCTCAGGTATGTGCCAAACCAAAGAAAACTCCATATATAACTTAAAAAAAATCCCAAACAATAGCTTCAGAAACACTATATCTGCCACAGAACTAGAACAAAATCTCTGTTTTACCAGTTTTTAAAAAAGTAACCTTAGTTTGGCTTTGCTCAGGAGGGAATCTAGTAAAGCTATAGTTTGAGTGAGACACTTTTTCTTGTTTTTCTCATTCGGCCTAAACTGTCTGAAAAATAATAGCCTGAGTTACTCACAGGAACTGAACATATTCTCTTACCACTGTGAGGAGTGCAGTCACCAGATACTTTTAATATAAACTTTCTTGGTAACCACAAACCCAAATATCTGTCTTTTACAAGGCTGCACAAAGAGCTGTATAGTATAGTGGCTGATATGTGCTGAAATCTATTTAAAAATAATAGTAAAATGTAACTTACAGCATTTAGCCTAAAAGGCACTTATATCCCTGATAATGTTTTTTGGGTAACATCTTGAGCATCTCAGGAGGGTGACTAGGGAGGTCACTATGCTCTTGGCACCTATGAGCAGGCTTATGTTGCTAAGCTTGACTTGTGCTTTATATTTGAGTTCTTTTGTGGAAGCTTTTAGCTTGTTTTCCTTGAAACACAGCTGCAGATAATCTGATGCAAGTCCCAGTGTCCCCACACAAGAAAAATGTCTTGGTTTGGGTTTTGGCTCAGGTTTTCTAGTATTATTTCTGTTCTGTCACCCTTACTGATTTCATGTGTGCATGTAATGCAGGAGTCTAGCATTACAGGACATAGAAGATGAATGAGGCTAGAAGTGGCAGGGTTTTACACTGAAGACCTTGTCTATGTAGGCCTTGTAAACTGTGAGGCACAATCTTAGAGCAGCATTCACAGGAACGCAATTCCGAATGAAGCTTTATGTTTGGGTATAGGCAGTACAGCCTGATACAGCTTCCTCTGATTTCTGTGAGACTTGTTGCTATCCGTGACAAATGTAATCCTAAACAGAATTTACAGAATTTATTCTCTAGAGGACTAGTTTAGATATTTTAAATAGATATTTTTTGAGAGATTTTTTTTCCCTGAGACGTACACTCAGCAAATGGCATTTCTCTACCACAAGTCCTTTCTATAGAAACAGACGCTTATGTCAGAGTCTTTGGTGACTTCATTGTGGTTTCATATGCGTAGAGAACGTTATATGCCAGACGTAGTTCCTGTTGAGATACCTTTGTTTGACAGCTTGAATTTGAAGAAATCAAGAAAAGGAAACCATTAAATGTGTAGAAACATGCGTTAGATGTAAACGCACCTTTCATTCCTTTGTTTTAAACGACTTCCTTGAATAAAACTGAATGGTATWTAAATGGRTGAACATATRTATACCACTAGCACATCTTATTTCTTGCACTGAAGATGCCTAATTATAATTAAGCTTAAAGTCCRAGAACATAGGACAAACTGCAAGGCRGAAATTGCAAGAAATTTTCTTTATTCMAGCTAATACTCAGCATACAGGGAATGCTGATAATATAAGGGAATGCCTTATATTATCTCAGTGCTGTGGAAGTTAAAGTCTGGCGTTCTGACTTTGGCCTTTCTTGTGAACAGATGGAGCCAGGCTGGTGCATGCATCAGATCCTTCTGCTTTTGAAAAATATAAATCAAAATGTGGATTTGAACTTTATAACACATGCATAACTCCAGCACGGACACGAGGGGCTCAGCTGTGGTTGGCCTCCGCGTGGCTGCGTGGGAGGGAGGCCTGAAAGCCCTTTCCCTCCTCCAGCGCGGATACAGCTCATGGATGCTGCCATGTGTCCTGCCACTTTTATCACCCAGTGGGGAGAGGATATGGGGAATCTTGGAAGCAGCTGGGCCTATTTGCAGAGTCTGTACTAACCTATCTGCTGGGTGAAGGCTGCCTCTGGCCTGCTCCTCCAAATAAGGTCACCTCTCTGCTTGATGGCTTAGGGCAGACAGGAAAATGATGCAGAGAACACAGGGACTCTGGGGAGAGAATCTTGAGTCACTCGGTTCTTGTATGCAACTTCTTGTTATTGCTTAATACATTGCAAAAATATTTGCTAGTGAATTGTGTAGCCAAGGACAAGCACAGGGTTTAGCCAGTTCTCATCTGTGCAAGCAAGTGCAGGTTCCCTGCCTTTTTTTGCTGTATCCCTGCACAAGAACCAAGCACTAAAACAAGCTGCAGAATTTGATCAGTGTGCAYAGAGGTAGACTAAATTTGTTTAATTATCTCCGTGCCTCTGTTACTAGATAGAGGAGATGTTTTGCCTCTACTGGTATCCATCAGGTTAAATGAAATCTTTCAAATTCATTTTGTCTGTACAAATCTCTTTAAAAGTGTCATTAGACACTGCTACTTAATCTGAAAAAAATTTAAGGCTAGCCCAAGTGAGGCASTATAAACTTTGCTTTCTGCAAAATGTTTCCCTGGGTTTTGTCACCTTGTTCATAACTGAGAACTTAACCTGAGAACTCTTTTAGTTTTTGATTGTTTTCACATGAATCACCTCAGTCCATGAAAGGTTTTCATATTTAAATATTTTTTGAATTAAATGGGGYTTCCTTCTTCTTTTCCATAATTAGGGAGCCCTATAAATAGAAGATTTTTTGTTATCACAATCTGCTTTCAGAACAGAATCTCAATAAAAACAGAGATGCAATAAGGACATAGAAGTCATGCAAACAGTGATATGATTATGGGACAGAAGATTATGGGACAGATTCTGGCCCCCAATTTTGTCCGACTTCCTGCCAAAACAGCCAATAAACCTGGCTGCAGAAACTTCTGCTTTGAGCAGCAAATATTGCACTGCCCGACCAASACCCTAAAACTGATGAGATGACTAGAAAAAGGTGGAGTCGTCTTGTAGTCAGAAAAGCCGGGAGAGTTTTGCACCAACTAAGAGCCCTTCATTTGCTCTGGCAGAATAGGAAATCTGGGTGTTGACCTTGACATTAGCCTGATTAAACAAACTTATTTTAAAAATAACTACTGAAATTAGATACCCTCCCCCCCAGTGAGCAACAACACTGATGTGCTTGTAAAAAGTATTTTAAAGTGAATTACAAGTCTTTTTTTCATTTCCTATAATATTTTTAAGAACAGTTGGCAAGAAATTGTCGATTGTATGTCCTGAAGAGCCGCAGCTCTTTGGTTAAGCTCTCAAGAAGATTGTATCAGTCAGTAGAGATATCCTTTCAAGCATGACTTGAGAGAAACAGATGTGAACCCTTAGACCTATGGTTTTCCTGTGCCTTTAACTCTCAGGACAGTATTTACAATAGATAACTAAGAGGATGAGGTAAGAACATTTCTTGCCGGGAAGCCTCACCAGCAGGATAATTTGTGATGTGGTTTGTTGTGKTKTTTTTTTTTTCTGTGCRTGTGCTGGCAGTGAATTTTTTTCAGATTAAAAATATGCTTGTTTGTTTTAATCGAGTTTATCCTTGTGACTGCAAAAAATGCAGCTACAGCCCTTGAATCTTCTTCTCTTAATAAACAAGAAAAGGAATTTAAATCCTTCTGAGGAGAGCTGAGCCCTTTTCTTTTTCTTTAGCAGATGACAGCATCAGCTCACATTTGCAAATGGTGCAGTTTCTATATTACTTATTGCTCTTCCCGTGAGGATACTAGTACCAAGTCCAGCATTAGCAGTTGTCACTGAACCTAGAAGGTTTTGGAAAGCCTTATTTTTCTTTTTGAATTTCCATGATTATTATTCCCTTTGATAAATGAGTCTCAAAATGCTGCAGCTAGCCTCCTGGTTCTGCTCTTGGTCCTCCAGCAAGCCACCTTGAAGTGAACTCTCACTGCCAAGCAGATGTGGAGGCCAGAGGAGGTTTTGGAGACTCTTGAGACCACAACGTAGCTACTGTAAATCTGGTTTTGTTCTCATCAAAAGTCAAAGCAGACTTTGAAAAGCAGTTGAATCTTTCTTTTGTTTGCCCACCAGAAGCTCTGAGGAATAAAGGCAATAATTCGTTCAATCTCCCCCAGCCCATTGCAGTTTCTAGGCTGTTAAAAGGGTCTTTACCCTTGGTTTTTGAGTTTGCRACTTGACTTTTGATCACTGATCAGTCTGTGAGAGAATGGGCTGGGTATTGATGAAAACCTACCTGGTCTCTCTGGTTTTGGGTCTTCACCTGAACTGATGGATCAGGATGATTCTGGCCAGTGTCACCAACTTTTGGTATTTTAAATAGGAGAAGGTGTGAAACTTTTACCTAAGTAGTTTCCCTTCCTTTCTTTCTTCCTTTTCTAGGGTGAATATTCAAATTCAAGAAGGCTTTTCTCTGCCTTCACATTCTAGGAATTCTAGTGATCATTGAGTAAAAGTGTCAAATCCTGTTCTGATACACAGCTAGATAACAAGTATTTCAACAAGCTTCTTAAGAAAATATTGGGTTCTCTTTAAGCAATTGTTGAGAGTGGGAAGCATTCATCTACTTTGTCAGTAATGTGAAGATCCAATAAATAATCAACTTGTTTCAGTAAGGAGGAAGGATATTTTCATTACCGGCCTGCAAAGAGCTTGTTCCTGTTTTGATTCCTGTTTTTAATTATATTTGTAAAGTACTTCTCTAAAAGTTTATGGCTCTGCATGGAACAATCTCTTCAGGCTGCAAGGAATTGAGCAGTATCACATGAACAGCATCCTTTTGATCTAGCAGGGAATGCCTACATTTATATTTCTGAGCCTTCTTCTTTCACCTTGARTATGTTTTTCCCCTTTGGAAACAGATGTCAGATACTCAAATATTTTGACATTTATTCATGGAAGTCATTTAGCTGTGCTGGCTTATATGAGCCAAAAAATAGGTAGTGTATTTTATGACTGTTTCATACGCACTTTCTTTAAGACTATGTAATTGCTCCTTTTCAGAAGAGGCAGTGCTCTTTTGAAGGCTTTTTTTTTTTTTGCTCAGAACAGCAAGGTCTCCCTGGTTTGGGAAGGAATCAGAAGGTATTTTGAATGAYAAGGCTCTCTGTATCATGCCAACTGGTTATAATTACACTGATCTTTTAAGTCTGGAATCTCTATATGAGGGTCAGGATGGATGGACCTGTGATTCATGATTTTCCCTTTTAATTTCTCCTAGGAATATTCATTGCCTTACACACCACAGTTTGCGCAATGCAAGGACGCTACGAGGGAGTTCTATGAAGAAAGTCTTAATAAATGTTGCAGTCAGTGCCCTCCTGGTAAATTATAATTTACACTGTTACTTTGCATGGATGAATTCAATGAATTCTCAGATGAGCACTGTATGTTTTGATTATTGATGCATGTGAAGAGCATCAGAGTTTTGCTGTTTTAATGCAGTCTTTATCTAGAAGAACGTAAAATGTTGTGACTGTAAAAAATATTTGCATAAGAAACACRATGTTGAGTAGAATTGGAGTTTTGTTACAAGGTTAACCTGGTTGGGGCTTATTGGGAGGATCATCTAGGCTGCTGAGCTCTTGTAAACTCAGTTTTGCACTTTTTTGATTAAAATAATTTTTAATTGCATGTACATTTTTCTGAAGCAAAAGTTAACTAATGAGGTACAGTTTAATTTTGGTACTTGGATAATAATACTTATGTAAGGGGGTTTCCACTTGGCAGGTTAATCTATAATTGCTCATTAAGGATTTTTTTTAGACTTTGCTATAAAGCAGTTACTGTAGACCACTATCACAGATAATACAGAAATAAAAGAATATTGAAACTGTTTTTATCATTTGAGGTGTCATGTCTTACACTTCAGTGATAATTATTACTGATTCTTTGCTAGCAAACAGCCATTGAGTACAGACGTAGGGGGATGTCAAGGGTGGGGATTTTGTTTTGGTAGTAGTGACATTTTGATATGTTAATTATAGAATTTTTGCAAAAAGCTGTCATTATATGATGACATTAGACACAAGGGGGAAAAGAAAAAGACAAGCATATTTGTCTCATGACCTGCTGAGCAAACAAAATTTGTCTCCATAAATGCTGAGTTCCTGTCAGAGAGATCCGGAAGTTTAAGCAGGAAACCAGTATATGCTGAAGCAGCCACAGCAGCAAAAAGAGCCTAGATAGATCTGTCATACTTCCTTTGTTAAAAACACAATGGGGGTAAAGATGACTCAGAATTAAAACATCTATTTATTCCAGAAATGGTGATCAGTCTGTAACATGTCTCTATACCAATTTTTAATTTTTCAGATTTTTTTATTTTATGTGGGAAACACGAATGATGAAGAGGTCAGATTTCCCCTGTGTATGCATGCAGTCCCTATTTGAATTAGTACCTGGTTGGTATCTGCTTGGTATCTTGGTACCAGCTGTTAATCTGACAGTGGTAGTCAAAGAAGAAGTTTTCTACAGCTAAAAATGAAACTTACCCTAACTTCTGGTGATTCCTAGTGATGAGATTTTACTTTTTTTCTTTTTTAAATAGGGCAATACAAGTTACAGAACTGCTCTGACAGTGTGGACACCAAATGCAGTCCGTGTGGAGTTAACTCGTATACAGCGATCTGGAATTGGTCTCCTCAGTGCTTTGCCTGTTTACCACCTTGCAGGAAAGGTAGGGCTGGATTATTAAAGGGACTTTTGAGCCTTTTGCAGCCTGTTCCAAGAGCTGAATTGTTTTAATCTGGTCTGTTTTTTTTCTTAAAGAAACTCCTCAAGAGTTTGGCGCTATCACTTGTGTATTCCCAATGTCATCTTGCCTTTTTTCTTGTTTCAAAACAGGTTTTGTGCAGCTTCAAACGTGCACAGAATCACAGGACAGAATCTGTAGCTGCCCACCCAATGAGTACTGCATTTCGAAAATATATGATCAGTGCGAAATGTGCAGATTGCATAAAAAGTGTGGAAAAGGTTACCGAGTTTCCAAAAGAGGTAATTTAATTCTCAGTACTCAGAATCTGTGCACAAATGAGCTTTACTGTGCAGAGAGTAATTTTTATCTTAATAGTCCATAAATATTTCTAAATCTGCCTTGAATTTGCTAAATTACTAGCTGAATATGTTTTAATGCCCTGCCATTAAGTATTCTTTCTAATGCAATCCACATTTTAGCAAGTAGGCAGTAAATATAACAACAGTATTCACAAGGGATGTTGTATTAAAAGGGACAGAATATCTCAGTCTTCTACTGCATCATGAAAGTTCCCTGATGCAATTTATTTTTGCTTTGTTTGGCTGCAGTGGGTGATTGCAAAGTGATCTGCACTTGCAGCGTGAGGACCATGTAATTTCTGTTTAAAGCCTTAAAACAGGGTTTTAGGTTGAAGTTAAGATAGAGTAAGTAATGGTGACTATACTGTCCTGCAGAGGAAGTCATTTCTCTTTATTAAATTATGAAATTTACCACTCTGACAGTATAGTTATCTTGGGACAAAAACAATTGATGGATTGCCTACAATTAGTAATCCATAATGTCATAAAGAAATTAAGATACACTTGAAAAGATGATGGAAAGCAGCGGTATGGAAAGATGGTTAGCCTGTTGGGTGCTAGTGAAAAGGCTCAGCATTGTCTGTAATGCCACATGTAATCTTTTCTGTAGATTTTAACAGTCTTTGAAAAAGACTGTCTATCCAGGGCACAAAAGTAACAGTTGATGAATCTTCTGATGTTTGGGTAGGATGTTTCAGATTAATAACTTTTGTGATGGTCACAGGCTGTATTTTGTGCACTGTCTCTATATTGGTTCCAGGATCTGTACCACAGACCTTGATTATTCATTCTTGGTTCTCACTAGACAACTAACTGCAATTTTTCTGGTTTTTTGCAGGAACAGACAGCACAGATACAGAATGTATGCCTTGTCCTCCTGGAACTTTTTCAGATGAGGAATCTTACAATACCAGCTGTAAACCACATAGAGTGTAAGCCAGCCTTTCTGCCTAATAACAAACTTTAATTGTGCCTAGGACTGATTTCTCTTCTAACCTCTCTTTTTGTTTCTTGCAGTTGTAAAACAGTGGCTATTCCAGGAAACAGCATGAATGACACTGTTTGCARTGATTCAGGAACAGTGTTTACCACAGCTGTACCTCACACTGCTGTGAAAACCATCCTGACCCAAAGCTCAAACTCTGTCAGACCTGAAATATTAACTCGACCTGTCATTCTAAGTGCTGCACCTGATATGTCTTATATCATTGGTAAGTTAATTCTTTGGAAGTCATTTTCATCTGACTTGGAAGCAAGATTGCTTTTAGTTCTCCGTTTCTTTCAGAGATCAACTATCTGTACCCTAATAGAACCTCAGAAAAAAAAAGAGTTAATTCAGTAAGATGCTACTTGTATTGAGTTGCGTATTATTAACCTATATATGTGCTCTTCTTTGGTGTATTCTATAGTTCTTGTAATTCTAGCAATATTTATAAAATGTGCAGAATTTGATTATGAAATGCATTTCCTGGGAATAAAAAAATCTATACAGCATTGATAAGCACRAACTTGGTGAACAGGACTTTCCCCCATTCACCACCTATTCTGCTGTGTTTATATTTCTAGGAGCATTCTGGACTGCCTGGCCTTATGCATAAAGAACTGTTGCTAGCATAGTGAGGTTCTCTTTGTGATCAAGGCCAGGAATCTGTCCTGACTTTTCAGCACAGGAAAGTTCATTTTTATGAAGTGCTGGAGATTGAAATGCAACCTTGGTACCAATCATTCAAGATATGAATGTCAGACACAGTAGCTACTTGTGAAATTAGCTTTTATAGTCATGGACAGAAACTGTGAAACTAATTGTGTCTAATTCTCTCCTTTGCAGATGGACTTGCTAAATGATTTTCATTTATTTTCCAGGTTCAGTAACAGGGCCAGTGGTATTGATCATGATAATTGCTGTTTTGGGATACTGCTTAGTCTCCCGTAAAAAAGGTAGGATTCATGCAGTGAAATAAATGGTTCTTAAGCATCAGAAACAGTAACACCTGGTTTGTTACCAGTTTGAGCCTGGTGTTTGTCTGATTTTAGTGTCCCAGAAGGTGCTAGCTTTGAAGCTTTTCTCATGGCTGGATATGGAGGCAGGCTTGCTTATGGGTAGTCTTTGATGTCTAGTAATAGGCAAGCTCACTATTTTTTAATAAGGAAAGAAGACATTTATATGCATGTCCTTCACTGGCTGGTAACATAGCTGCAGGAAACTTTCAGGAAAGGWTAGAGGAACTTTTTTACCTCATTACTCTGCTACACTTGGATGAAATTGGTCAAATGTTTCTAAGGTCAAGAGGAGAAAGAGAGACTAATAAAAACCTCATGCAAAGCACCATGTTCACATAAACTTTGCACCCACAGAAAAACAGAATAAGAAAAATTCTCTTAAGTATTCCATATGCATTTATATTAAATGTATCTTTATTAGATCACATGTAAACTTCCATATGTGGATATGAGGCAGGTGCCCTATTCAAATCTCTTATTCCTCGGATTATTGATAATGGTCTAAACATGGAACATCCAGTGGAACTGGCAACTGGGCAGCAATCTCCTACTGCAGTTTGCTAAATATTTTGTGATTCATCGTTTAGGTATTAGACATTACTACATGTTAAACTATTGTTTTGCTGTCATTGGACATATTTTATTGTTACTTTTTGACACTAAATGATTAATTCAAAGGTGGAATCCTCTCTGCTCACTAGCCAAATTCACCTTTAACAAAATTAGTGCAATACAYAAAACTTACAAAATTTTAAAATAGCATACACTAGCTATCTACTATCTGTAGAGCATAGAGAAAGTAAAACCAAATGTACATTTGGAGTTTATTCTAGCAGCAAAGCTATCACTCGAGCAAGTTGAGCGAAGCTTTTGCAACATAAACAGATTTTGCTTTTAATGAACTCTCTTCTCATTCACAGCGCTTTTATATTCTCCACCAGCTGGAGAAGCAGATTTGGTGAGTGTGACTCATTCATACCTTTTCATGCTCTCTGTTTCTCTAACAGTTATATAGAAATCATGACATCTTACCTAATTACAAAAAAAGCTAAAACTGTAGTGAGGAAGGGCTAGTTAATTTGGCAGTAACCCCAAGTTACTGCCTAAGATATAATTGTTGGGACTGATTCAAACCTCACATTATTTCAGGTAATCAGGTAATGTAGGTGTCATTCAGAGTCTTGTTCCCTGGATAATTAGTGAAGTGCTGTAGATGCCTAGAAAGATTCATTTTATTGAATAACTGATGAGCTAGTATGAATTTTGTTTACAGTTATCACTTTGCAAATGGAGATTATCAGTAGTTTGTTTAATAAAAAGTAGCCAGCACTTAGGTGTCTAACGTTCAGCATTTTTCTGCAAATGTTCCAGCCTTTTTCCCCTACAGAGAAGCAGTGTGAGAAAAAAGTAAGAAATACAGGACCACAGAACTCCAGTAACTCCAAACAGGAGGAACAGCATCTCTTGGAAACCCCAGGGTCAAGCAGTAGCTCTCTCAATAATCCAGCTGGTGCTACAAGCAACAGTGTAATCAGTAAGAAGAACAATGAAAGCAAAGTGGAAGGATTTCAGCAGCAATATTCAGTCACAGAAGGCTGTAAGCTTCACAGTGGAGACAGACATAACTCTGCAAGTTCAGGTGAGAGTCTGAACATTGGARTGTTCGAGAACCTCTTGAAATTTGATTATCTGTTATAATCTGTTATAAGTGGGTTTCTTTTGGGGAGGGGGCAGAATTTTAAAATACCAGAACCATGTTTAGTAGTGAGAGTATTTAGGAGCTTTTTAAAGAAGTGGTGATTGCTTTAAACTTTCAGCTTGGAACAGCAAAGAGTGTGCTCAGCTGCAACACTGTTTTTTGCAGACCGCTGAGACAAGGTAATGGTAGGCATGTTCCTGTGAATGGGAGACAAAGGCAGCAGCAGTAAAAGGTGATTGACAAARGCTTCAGAAATGGAAAGAGGACTAAGAAAACAGAAACAGATAGGCAGGGAGTTGACTTTGATCCAGGTCTCTGTATTAGGTGTTTCCAGTTTGTTTGTTTTAATCACTGAGATAATATGTAGATTTTATTGCATTAAAAAAATGTTGCAGGAACATCTCCACCAGCTTTCATAAATTCTTTGAAGCAAGGAGATAAGTCTATTTTGACTTCAAATCTGTCTCTCTGACTTGTCTTCCAGTCTGTCTCTGGAAAGAATCCAGCCATGCTACTCAGGGTTTTGTTCTTCCATGCTTACTGTGTTTTTTGTTTATTTGATAGAACATTCTGGTAATGGAGGAACACAGGTGAATGTGACTTGTATTGTTAAAGTATGTAATTCCGACTGCAGTGCCCAGTCCCCAGAGCAGACTAGTTCAACTAGCATGGATTATCGAAATGCTCCCCATTATTCTCCAACAGGAGAAGAAATTCCTCTTTCAAAAGAAGAAAACCTCTTGCAAAGAGAAACTGAAATTAAGATCTCAGTGGAAACCGAGGATGATTTACTTCAAGACCTACTTCCAGAAGAAAAGCCGTTTCCCCTGAGTGTTCAAGATGTGGGGATGAAGACTAGTTAAAGGAGATTACAGATCATTTATTGATTAAGCACCTCCAACCTTCTGAAATAAACATTATGTTAAATGTAGCATTCCTATGGAGATTTGAAATCTAAGATGAATATAGACATGAGAGTTCATGAGGTTTTAAATCTTTTTTTTTTCCTCCCGTCAGCCTGGAGACTGAAATGATGCTCTTTGCAGTTTATAAGAAATTACCGCTTTTTAATGCTTTCTTGTAAACAGAATTGCCTAGTCTTTCCTTTCTTCTATGATACATCTTGATCATACCCAAGACAGACCTTTGAAAAGGAACTCTTTTCTAACTTTTTGCCATCGACATTTCTGCGGAGACTTCTTGTGATGATAGTCTGGGTTCATAAATGCTACCTGTTGAGAACATGACTGCAACCAGCCCTTCTAAGAGACTGGAATTATATGATCAGTCATCTGTAAGCTATTCATATAGTTTTGATTTTAAAATTACTCCATTTCCTGCTTTCGTGTATATATTTCTACTAGCTTTTTGGATATATTTTATTATGATTTGCTTCCTTTCATYTTTTGAGCAAACTTAACAATTCAAGCTTAAGTACATTAAAGAGAACCACCTTTTACAGCATTTTTTCCCCTAGATTACAACTATGCTTATTTCATGAAGTGAAATGAAATCTTTACTAAATAGTTATCTTGAAGTATGCAGTAAATTTCTCTCATTGATGCTTCTAAAGTCTGACATCTTCATGTCATGGCTGCTTTAATATGCTTCCCTGACTGATCCTGACCTCAATTTTGATGTTACCAAGGTTAACCATAAGAACAAAATATTTTTCCCTACATCACAGTGACCATTAGAGAAGATGAGACAACTCACACCCATTAAACTCAAGTAAAGGACTAAATCTTGATGATTGCATGACATAATCTTTGAAAGTGGAATTGATTCAAATCTCAGAATCAGAAAATCCTGTTGTCCTTCACTTGTTGATCCACACTGAAGATCTATCCACCTCTTTAAAGAAAATTAGTAGAGTTTCTTCTGTAATAATTCTTGTAAAATTCAATTTCTAGGAATGTATTTTCCAGAATTAAGTTTTATGAACATGGATTAACTGACAATTGTGGTGTCTAAATTCAACCAGAACTTGTAATATGATTTTAAGTGAAATCAGACAACAGTCATATTTTTTCTTTTATTCTATGAAAACATGCTCATTAACCTCAAGAGTAACTAAATGCATTGTTTGAGGCCTTAGCCTGGAAAAAAAAAAAAAATTGCATTTATTCTACAACTACAATGGAGAGTCAGAATTTAGTTCATGTGGAAGCTTAAACATCTTTTATTGCATTTATTCACATTTTTTTACTGGAATTGAGAAATGGCAAGCAGACTTTTATGCCTTTTTACAAAAATTTTGTATTGGCTTTTGAAAATGAAAAATAATGTTCAGGGAAGATGCTAAGACAAGAAAAGTACCTCGTTTTATATGTTGCTTTGAACACCCTGCACTGAACATTCTCCTCTCTTGTTCATCAGCTCCCACTGTAGAGATCTGATTGAAGAAGCAGCTCAAGATTTCTTAATAAGTCTTTTTAAAAAAAAGTTTAAGAACTTTTAATAAGTTTATTTCTTTTGTCACTAACTTTATGGGGGTTTCAAATCATGGAGCTGCATGGCAGAAGGGAAATCCAGGTATTATGTTCAAAGTTCAAATGAAAAATGTGCTTATATTTGCTGAAAAAAGTTTAAAAGTATATTTTTATAGTGATGTATCACAAGCTATACATTAAAATTCTTATTTTTTGAAGCGGTTGTTTCACTTCACTTGCGACTGCGGTGTGTATTTCATGGCGTAGGTTTCTCTCAGGGAGAAGGTTTAAAAAAAAAAAGTCAGAATTATGACCTCCAGTCTGAGAAAAGATCCAGTTTGTGATCTTTAATGCCACTCCTCCCTCTGTAATATTAATTACAACAAAAAAAAAAAAAAAAGAGAGAGAGAGAGAGAGAAAAGGAGGAAAAAAAGGTGGTTTGCATTCCTACAACTGATTTTAACATGGTTAATTTGGACTTGGGCTCCTCAGGGGTAGGGGAGAGAAGCGGTGCCGCCCGGTGCGCAGAGGAGCGACCGTTGGCGTTGGGTGAGGCGCCCGCCGGCGCGTGACTCAGGCGGCAGCGCCGGTAGCCGCCCCGGTAACCGCCCCGGCCGCGGGCCCGGCTCCGCCTCAGGGAGGCGGGGACGGGCGCATCGATAGCTCGGCGTTCCCTCGCCCTGGCCTCCGTGCCCGTTTCCCCCCCCACAAACTCCCCCTTCCGTTGGTTCGAGGGCGACCAGCCCCTTGATCCCCGTGCGCCATCGAGGAGGCGGCCGCGGCCGGGCGCTAAGGTAGGTGGCGGAGGGGCTGGCGGCCGCAACGGCGGCCTTAGGCCCTGGCCGTCGTTCCTCCCGTTTTCCGGCTCTGGCGGCGTGGCGGAGGCCCGGCCCTGAGGGGCCCCTCCCTGCCGCACGCCCCCCTCAGCGCTCCGCCCCGCCGCCTCGACCCCGAGGGGCCGCGGGCCGCCGTGCCCAGGTCCTTCCCGAGGCCGGAACCGTGGAGGGCGAGGGCCCCCCCTCGCCTGCCGCCATCCTGAGCCCCCGCGGCCGGGCCCGGAGCCTCCCCTCAGCTCGCTGCCCCTGCRCGCCGTTTGCCCCTCGCCCTTCTCCCCGCCGCCCGCGGGCAAGGTGACCTTTTCTCTCTCGTTGTCACCTGCTATGTGCCAACAAGTCTCCTGCCTCGCTAAACTCCTCCTGCCCGGCGGGTGTTGGTGTGAGAAACCAGGAGGGCTTTTGGGGTGCGGGCGCCTGCACATGGCCGTCTTACGCAGCCAGGAATTTCCCCTCTCCCCACACACGTTGGCCTCTAGCAGCAGCTAGTAACCTAATCTAGCTACTAACTAGCAGTGCAGTAAGGTTAACTRCACCTTCCAGTKCCCTCTGCCCTGAGCTGTCCCTTGCCACTCGACCCTGTCGCCAGTCCTATGGGGCCTGTGCTGTGGGGGCAGCTTTGGCGTTCCCATTATAATTTTTTTCTTCATTTCTTCCCAGAGGAAGTGAAGCAACTTTCAGTGAACTCTTAACTTTGAACTTGGTTTCTCATCCTGCTAGATGTTTGCTGTTTTTCCTCAGCATGAGTGTGCAGGAAATAAAAGCATTGTAATTAGAAATGTTTCGTTTTCCTTCCAGTGGCRCAGCAGTGGACTAGAAAATTACAAAATTACATGCCTCAGAACTGCTGAAGGATGCCTAAATAATTACCTGTATTCCACAGCAAGCTTAGGTTAAGGGGATGACTTWCCTTATTTACAGTTCCTATGATGACTTCAGGCATGGAATTATTCACAGACCTGAGATTTTTCAGCCATTGTGATGTTAACCTGTTTGGTGCTTCTAAATGTTTCTCCAAGATGTTTCTTCTAATTTGGCTCCTAACAACCTGTAGATTTCTTTTGTGAGGTATAACCACATGACATGGATTATTCTGTTCACTTTTGTTGTGACTTAAGCTTTTTTTCTCAGTTTTACTTGAAAATAAGCTGTAGTACAAGGCAGGGGACTTATGTATGAATATTAAGTCTTTGTTATGTAGAGTAATAGTGCTGTTTTTTGGAAAACCATGGAGGCATTTTGAAAAGATAAGTTKTTAGTTAAGCGTGTGTCTAATGTGAATACATTCCATATTTTAATGCAATTTGCTTTGAGTTATGTATACTATTTATGTTCCACTCTGCATCACAAAAGTAAGTTTGTTTTTCAGCTTTTAACCASAGTTAAGCAGATAATGAAAGACTTTGTCTATCTTCTTTGGCTGTATTAGTTAAAAATTCTCAGTGGATGTTTTTAAATAAATTCATACGTCTGCATTAGAGCCTTTAATCAAACATACATTTCCCACTATTCGAGGGGAAAAAAAACTCTTGCATTTTAATATAAAATCTAAGTTCAGTTCTTGAATTTGTCTTTTTTTTTTTTTTTGTCTAGCTTAATTTAATGTAAATAGGTGAATAGGTCAATATATCTTGCCTTTCTGATATGCAGAACTTAAACTTAGAAGTTTCGGAGGGACATGTGTGGTGGGCAGACATTCCTAAACACAGAACTGATGCAAGTATATTTAGAGTATTGTAACTATTTGATAGGACATGCCTGCTTTTTCTTATTTTCTAATTATTTTATTTTATTCATTATCTCATCTTATTATTTCTTATTGTCTCATTATTATTTCTTATTATCTCATTTTTAAGTGAGTTAAATCCTGCCATTGCTGAAGCTAGTTGTAGTTTTGCAATTCATAGATTAAAAACTTTGAAAGGGACCTAGGAATCCAATAAATCAAATTGAAAAAGAAATGCCTGGAGAAGAATATGAAGGGAAATGTTCACGGTATCACGGTGTTGCTTTTTTAATGCAGCTTCTGTGTCTTTTCTTGATGKTGAAATCTACAATACCACTTTGAAAACCTATGGGTAGAGTAACTGTTGATGAGCTTTTGTGTTACTTGTGTCTGGTTACGTGATACATGTAACATAATTTCCCCTAAAAACGGGAATTGAGAAGGGTAAATGACAGTTTAACAGGTGCCATGTAAGAATGCTGCAAAAAATCCAGTCCATGGCTCTGGGCTGCAGTTTAGTTTGGATGCCAGACTGACTTCTTGCTGCTCAGTTCGAATGTTTTCATTCATGGCATCATGTATAATTCGGTGAGCTGGTAGGTAACTGTTTTCCTAAAATCACGTTGTTAAAACTGAACAGAGGCCATTTTCCTTCCTGCTGTATTTGGCTTAACCGTTGAGAGGTGTCTCTGTTTGGAGAAAAAGTATGTGCCCTTGCCTGAGTCTTGTGCATAGAATCCGAATGCTCTTAGCCTTCGTTGTAGTTTTCCTTCTGGGAAGTCAGAAAATCCACCTGCAGAGCATTTGTATTTGCCCTTGCATACAGAGCACAGTAATAGGTCTGCTAGTATGAAAAAACAAAGTGCTGCCTCCAGAAAACTGAGCATTAAATAGAATAGTGGGAGAACAAAATAGCATTTTTACGATCAGCACTAACAGAAGGGATGAGGGAAACATTCTGTTTTCTGGGCCTATTTTGAAAAATAATAGATGTGATATAAAATAAGCTTGAGAAAGCAGCATTTAAATGAACACCTGTTACTTTAAGCTAGACTTTCCAACCCAGTATGCTGGCAACTTGAAGGAAATAGCTACTGGAACTTTGGAAAAAAGGTGTTTTAGGGCCATGTTATGTATTGCATCAAAACATTGTGCAGTGGTAAAGGAGAAGGATGTAAAGGTGAACCTTATTTGCCAGTAGGAGTGGTCTGTAAACATCAAAGCTTTGTATGAATGTGCGTGTTGGAGCTTACAGGGTATGCATGTAATGCAGTTTTTCTAGATAGATACCAACCTAAGTATTTCTGCTGCTTTTTTGGATGGATTACAGTGACTATTTTTGTGTAGCAGCATCACACATCTGCTGAGAGACATTATGTTTCAGGCACTCATATTCTTACTTTTTTCTTCCAGAGTAAAACAGTAACTATGGAACAGAGATCCAGAAAATGACAGAAAAACCTTAGTTGCCCTCTTCTAAGACACAGTCATGTTGGAAGGATTGGTAGCCTGGGTCCTCAACACCTATTTGGGCAAATATGTCAATAACTTGAACACAGACCAACTTTCAGTAGCCCTTCTAAAGGGTGAGGATACTTGATATTTTGGGTAGTATTTTTATGCTGTGATTGAAAAGAGAAAAGAATAACTTCCATTTTTGTAATAACTGGAAGATGGAATAGAACCAATAAGTACTTAATACTGTGTTTAACATTTATATAAATGCTTTGAATATACAATATTGTACCAACACTTTACAACGAATAATAAATTCTCTTATGTTCTGATTTTTGTTGCTTTTTTAACATAACTAATTTTAACAATTTATATGAGACTGATAAAATATATGCTTAGCATATCTTATCATCTTCTTCAACTTCTACAGGATTTGTATGTGATTTTTCTTAAAGTTATTCAGTAAAGTTTCTTAATTACTATTAAGAAAAAAGTATTAAAGTATCTTAATTACTATTACTATTAATTACTATATTAGCTATCACTTCAATTGCCATGTAACTCAGAGTGTTGACTGTTCTCATGAAACCGTACTTATTTTTTTCTTTTTTTCTTTTTTTTTTTTTTAATATGTTTATAATCATCTTGTACTTTAATGTTCAAATTGTCACTTTAACATAATTTTGCTCGGCTGACCTGTAAGTTGTTTCTCCCCCTGCTGTTTTCTATAGGTGCTGTTGAATTGGAAAACTTACCACTAAAGAAAGATGCCTTGAAGGAACTGGAATTACCGTTTGAAGTGAAAGCAGGTGTGTATATTGCATATTTGTGTAAGACAAATATTTTTAAATAGAAATATTGTATGTATAATAAAAACTCTTTGCGTGATTCAAAAGCTTGAACAAATGAGATAAAATGATTTTTGGTAATAGAATTCTATCGTAGTGTTGTATCTGTGTTATACTGCTTTCTTAATATGT